GACAGCCAGACTGACCTACCTGCCTAAGTAGTACTGCAGAGAATGAACCTCTGCCTCAGTAGTAAGGTGAGAGGATCCATCTGCCCAGCACTAATGTGTGAGAGTGTCCTACCTGCCTTAGTAGTAATGTGAGAGTGACCCAGCCACCTCTAGTAGTAAAGGAGAGGACCTGCCTCAGTAGTAAGGTGAGAGTGACCCACCGCCTCAGTAGTAAAAGGAGAGTGACCTATACCTGCCTCAGTAGTAATGAGAGTGACCTACCCGCCTCTAGTAGTAAAGTGACAGTGACCAACCTGCCTCAGTAGAAAGTGAAAGGACCTCCACCTGCCTCAGTACGAAAGTGAGAGCAACCTTCCTGCCTCAGTAGTATTGTGAGTGTGAACTACCCTGCCCAGCATGAAAGTGAGAGTGACTTACCCTGCCCAGTAATGTGGAGAGCGACTCACCCACCCCTGCAGGAAAGTGAGAGTAATCCCACCTGCCTCAGTAGTAATGTGGAGAGTGACCCACCGCCTGTAGTAAAGTGAGAGTGACCTACCTGCCTCAGTAGTAAGGTGAGAGTGACCTAACCGCCTCAGTAGTAATGTGAGATTGACCTATTTGCCTTTAGTGTAGTAACGGGAGAGGACATACCCGCCTCAGTAGTAAGGGGTGAGAGTGACCTACCCGGCCTCAGTAGTAAGGGGTGAGAGCGACCCACCTGCCTCAGTAGTAAGGTGAGAGTGACTCCACCCGCCTCAGTAGTAAAGTGAGAGTGACCTACCAGCCTCAGTAGTACGTGGAGAGTGACCTACCTGACTCATTAGTAAAGTGGAGAGTGACCTCACCTGCCTTCAGTAGTGCAAGGTGAGAGTGACTCACCTGCCTCAGTAGTAAAGTGAGAGTGACCTACCCCTTCAGTAGTAATGTGAGAGTGACCTACCCGCCTCAGTAGTAAAGCGGAGAGATGGCCTACCCGCCTCTGTAGTAATAAGTGGGGAGAATGACCTACCCGCCCCCAGTAGTAATGTGTGAGAGTGACCTACCCGCCTCAGTAGGGAAAGTGAGAGTAACCTACCTGCCTCAGCAGTAATGTGAGTGTGAACTACCCGTCTTGGTAGTAAGGTGAGAGGAAGTCACCTGCCTCAGTAGTAATGTGTGAAAGTGACCTGCACGCCTCACTAGTAGCGGAGAGTGACCCACCGCCTCAGTAGTAATGTGAAAGTGACTCCACCTGCCTCAGTAATAATGTGAGTGACCTACCCGGCCTCATTGTAAAATTGAGTGACCCACCCGCCTCAGTGGTTAATGTGAGAGTGACCTACCCCTCAGTCGTCTCACTGATAATGTGACAGTGACCTATCCCCTCAGTAGTTATGTGAGAATGACCTATCCGCCTCAGTAGTAATGTGAAGTGTCTACCCGCCTCAATAATAATAATGTGAGAGTGACCTACCCGTCTCAGTAATAATGTGAGAGTCACCTACGCCCCAGTAATAATGTGGTGACCTACCCCAGTACTAATGTGAGAGGTGACCTACTCACCTCAATAGTGATGTGAAAGTGACCTACCCGCCTAAGTATTAAAGTGAGAGTACCTTGACTCAAGTAGTAAGATTGAGTGACCCACCCGCCTCAGTAGTAATGGTGAGAGTGACCTACCCGCCTCAGTAGTAATGTGAGAGTTACCTACCGTCCCAGTAATAATGTGAGGTTACCTACCCTCAATAGTAATGTGAAAGTGACCTACCCGCCTAAGTATTAAAGTGAAGTGACCTACCCGCCTCAGTAGTAATGTGAGAAGTGACCTACCGTCTCAGTAGTAAAGTGAGAGTAACCTACCCGCCTCAGTAATTGTGAGTGTGAACTACCCGTCTTAGTGTAATGTGAGAGTGACCTACCGCTTCAGTATTAAAGTGAGTAGACTACCCGCCTCAGTAGTAATGTGAGATTGACCTACCCGCCTCAGTAGTAATGTGAGTGACCTACGCTTCCTTGTAATGTTAAAGTGACCTACCGCCTCAGTAATACTGTGGTGACCTATCCGCCTCAGTAATAATGTGAGAGTGACCTACCCGCGTCAGTCGTAATGTGAGTGACCTACCCCGCCTCAGTAATAATGTGAGAGTGTCCTACCTGCCTTAGTATTAATGTGGTGACCCACCCAACTCAGTAGTAAAGTGGTGACCTACCCGCCTCAGTAGTAAGGTGAGTGACCCACCCGCCTCAGTAGTAAAGTGAGTGATGTACCCGCCTCAGTAGTAATGTGAGAGTGACCTACCCGCCTCAGTAGTAAAGTGAGAGTGACCTACCTGCCTCAGTAGTAAAGTGAAAGTGACCTACCGCCTCAGTAGTAATGTGAGGTGACCTACCCGCCTCAGTAGAAAGTGATAGTAACCTACCCGCCTCAGTATGTGAGAGTGACCTACCCACCTCAGTAGTAATGTGAGTGACCTACCCGCCTCAGTATTAATGTGAGAGTGACCTAACCGCCTCAGTAGTATGTGAGAGTGACCTACCCGTCTCAGTGATAATGTGACAGTGACCTATCCGCCTCAGTAGTTATGTGAGAATGACCTATCCGCCTCAGTAGTAATGTGAAAGTGACCTACCCGCCTCAGTAATAATGTGAAGTGACTACCCGCCTCAGTAATAATGTGAGTGACCTATCCGCCTCAGTAGTAATGTGAGATGACCTATCCGCCTCAGTAATAATGTGAAAGTGTCCTACCCCCCTCAGTACTAATGTGAGTGACCTACCCGCCTCAGTAATAATGTGAGAGTGACCTACCCACCTCAGTAGTAATGTGAGAGTGACCTACCACCTCAGTATTAATGTGAGTGACCTACCCGCCTCAGTAATAATGTGAGAGTGACCTACCAACTCAGTAGTAATGTGAGGTGACCTATCTGCCTTAGTAGTAATGTGAGTGACCCACCGCCTCATTAGTAAAGTGAGTGACCTACCCGCCTCAGTAGTAGGTGAGTGACCCACCCGCCTCAGTAGTAAAGTGAGAGTGACCTACCCGCCTCAGCAGTAATGTAAGTGACCTACCCGCCTCAGTAGTAAGTGAGAGTTACCTACCCGCCTCAGTAGTAATGTGAGTGTGAACTACCTGTTTCAGTAGTAATGTGAGAGTGACCTACCTGCCTAGTAATGTGAGAGTGACCTACCCGCCTCAGTAGTAAGAGTGAGAGTGACCTTCGCCTCAGTAGTAAGGTGAGCGTAGCCCTAACCGCCTCAGTAGTAATGTGAGAGTGACCTACCTGCCTCAGTAGTAAAAGTGAAAGTGACTACCCACCTCAGTGTTGTAAAGTAAGAGTGACCTACCCGCCTCAGTAGTAATGTGAGAGTGACCTACCCGCCTCAGTAGGAAAGTGAGAGTAACCTACCCACCTCAGTAGTAATGTGAGTGTGAACTACTGTTTTAGTAATGTGAGAGTGACCTACCTGCCTCAGTAGTAATGTGAGGGTGACCTACCCGCCTCAGTAGTAAAGTGAGAGTGACCTACCCGCCTCAGTAGTAAGGTGATGACCCTATGCCTCAGTAGTAATGTGAGAGTGACCTATATTCCTCAGTAGTAATATGAGAGTGACATACCCGCCTCAGTTGTGGGTGGTGACCTACCCGCCTCAGCAGTAGGTGAGAGTGACCCACCCGCCTCAGTAGTAAGGTGGTGACCCACCCGCCTCAGTAGTAAAGTGAGAGTGACCTGCGTCTTAGTAGTAATGTGAGGGTGACCTACCCGTCTCACTGATAATGTGACAGTGACCTATCCGCCTCAGTAGTTATGTGAGAATGACCTATCCGCCTCAGTAGTAATTTGAAAGTGTCCTACCCGCCTCAATAATGTGAGTGACCTACCCGTCTCAGTAATAATGTGAGAGTCACCTACCCGCCTCAGTAATAATGTGAAAGTGACCTACCCCCCCCCAGTACTAATGTGAGAGTGACCTACTCACCTCAATAGTGATGTGAGTGACCTACCCGCCTAAGTATTAAAGTGAGAGTGACCCACCCGCCTCAGTAGTAAGGTGAGAGTGACCCACCCGCCTCAGCAGTATGTAAGAGTGACCTACCCGCCTCAGTAGTAAGTGAGTTACCTACCCGCCTCAGTAGTAATGTGAGTGTGAACTACCTGTTTCAGTAGTAATGTGAGTGACCTACTGCCTCAGTAGTAATGTGAAGTGACCTACCCGCCTCAGTAGTAAAGGGGTGGTGACCTTCCCGCCTCAGTAGTAAGGTGAGCGTGACCTAACCGCCTCAGTAGTAATGTGAGGTGACCTACCTGCCTCAGTAGTAAGTGAAAGTGACCTACCCACCTCAGTGTTGAAAGTAGGTGACCTACCCGCCTCAGTAGTAATGTGAGTGACCTACCCGCCTCAGTAGGAAAGTAGAGTAACCTACCCGCCTCAGTAGTAATGTGGAGTGTGAACTACCTGTTTTAGTAGTAATGTGAGAGTGACCTACCTGCTCAGTAGTAATGTGGTGACCTACCCGCCTCAGTAGTAAGTGAGAGTGACCTACCACCTCAGTAGTAAGGTGAGCGTAACCTAACTGCCTCAGTAGTAATGTGGTGACCTATATTCCTCAGTAGTAATATAGAGTGACATACCCGCCTCAGTTGTAAGGTGAGAGTGACCTACCCCCTCAGTAGTAAGGTGAGAGTGACCCACCCGCCTCAGTAGTAGGTGAGAGTGACCCACCCGCCTCAGTAGTAAAGTGA